GCCTTCCTTTACTGCTGGCTGCCTTCCTTCACTGCTGGCTGCCTTCCTTCAGTGCAAGCTGTCTTCCTTCAGTGCTAGCTGCCTTCCTTCAGTGATAGCTGCCTTCCTTCAGTGTTGGCTACCTTCCTTCAGTGCTGGCTGCCTTTCTTCACTGCTGGCTGCCTTTCTTCACTGTTGGTTGACTTTCTTCACTGCTGGCTGCCTTTCTTCAGTGATAGCTGCCTTCCTTCAGTGCTGGCTTTCTTCCTGCAATGCTGGCTGCCTTCCTTCAGTGATGGCTGCCTTCCTTCAGTGCTGGCTGCCTTCCTTCAGTGCTAGCTGCCTTCCATCAGTGCTGGCTGTTTGCTTTCACTGCTGGCTGCCTTCCTTCACTGTTGGCTGTTTTTCTTCACTGCTGGCTGTCTTTCTTCACTGCTGGCTGCCTTCCTTCAGTGATAGCTGCCTTCCTTCAGTGCTGGCTGCCTTCTTTCAGTGCTGGTTGCCTTCCTTCAGTGCTGGCTGCCTTCTTTCAGTGCTGGGTGCCTTCCTTTAGTGCTGGCTGCCTTCCTTCAGTGCTGGCTGCCTTCCTTCAGTGCTGGCTGCCTTCTTTCAGTGCTGGTTGCCTTCCTTCAGTGCTAGATGCCTTCCTTCAGTGCTGGCTGCCTTCTTTCAGTGCTGGCTGCCTTCCTTCACTGCTGACTGTCTGCCTTCACTGCTGGCTGCCTTCCTTCACTGCTGGCTGCCTTCCTTCACTGCTGGCTGCCTTCCTTCACTGCTGGCTGCCTTCCTTCAGTGCTGGTTGCCTTCCTTCAGTGCTAGATGCCTTCCTTCAGTGCTGGCTGCCTTCTTTCAGTGCTGGCTGCCTTCCTTCAGTGCTGGTTGCCTTGCTTCAGTACTGGTTGTCTTTCTTCAGAGATGGCTGTTTTTCTTCACTGCTGGCTGCCTTCCTTCAGTGATAGCTGCCTTCCTTCAGTGCTGGGTGCCTTCCTTTAGTGCTGGCTGCCTTCCTTCAGTGCTGACTGCCTTCTTTCAGTGCTAGCTGCCTTCTTTCAGTGCTGACTGCCTGCCTTCACTGCTGGCTGCCTTCCTTCACTGCTGGCTGCCTTCCTTCAGTGCTGGTTGCCTTCCTTCAGTGCTAGATGCCTTCCTTCAGTGCTGGCTGCCTTCTTTCAGTGCTGGCTGCCTTCCTTCACTGCTGACTGCCTTCTTTCACTGCTGGCTGCCTTCCTTCACTGCTGGCTGCCTTCCTTCAGTGCTGGCTGCCTTCCTTCAGTGCTGTTTGCCTTCCTTCAGTGTTGGCTGCCTTCCTTCAGTGCTGGCTGCCTTTCTTCACTGCTGGCTGCCTTCCTTCAGTGCTGTTTGCCTTCCTTCAGTGCTGGCTGCCTTCCTTCAGTGCTGGTTGCCTTTCTTCAGTACTGGTTGGCTTTCTTCAGAGATGGCTGCCTTCCTTCAGTGCTGGCTGCCTTCCTTCACTTCTGGCTGCCTTCTTTCACTGCTTGCTGCATTTCTTCACTGCTGGCTGCCTTCCTTCAGTGTTGGCTGCCTTCCTTCAGTGCTGGCTGCCTTCCTTCACTACTGGCTGCCTTCCTTCAGAGCTGTTTGCCTTCCTTCAGTGCTAACTGCCTTCCTTTAGTGCTAACTGCCTTCGTTTATTCAGGTATCACCTTTAATTACTGTAACAATGATTCACTCCCTTTAAGATAAGTGCCTTGATGTTCGTAGAGCGCTCCACATCCCTGGAACCGGAGTTGATCTCCCCTGCTGTATGATCCTCACGGGTTTAGTGCTTCACTCCTAATACAACAACACAACAATAACAAAAATTATATGTGTTATATTTTTGTTAACTCCAACTGATCTGGTGGACTGGCAGCATCTTTCCTCCTGGCCTTCCGGAGTACCCTGATGCTCCTCACGGAGATAAATACCGACACAGTGGCAGCATCTTTCCTCCTGGCCTTCCGGAGTACCCTGATGCTCCTCACGGAGATAAATACCGACACAGTGGCAGCATCTTTCCTCCAGGCCTTCCGGAGTACCCTGATGCTCCTCACGGAGATAAATACCGACACAGTGGCAGCATCTTTCCTTCTGGCCTTCCGGAGTACCCTGATGCTCCTCACGGAGATAAATACCGACACAGTGGCAGCATCTTTCCTTCTGGCCTTCCGGAGTACCCTGATACTCCTCACGGAGATAAATACCGACACAGTGGCAGCATCTTTCCTTCTGACCTTCCGGAGTACCCTGATGCTCCTCACGGAGATAAATACCGACACAGTGGCAGCATCTTTCCTTCTGACCTTCCGGAGTACCCTGATGCTCCTCACGGAGATAAATACTGACACAATGGTAAAATAGACACAAATGCTGTATAATGTGATATTTTATTGACAACGTTTCGCCCACACAGTGGACTTTATCAAGTCACAAACAGGTCTACCTGAGTGTGTATAGTGTTGAAAGTCAAGGGGAGAATGTTGGGTGTTAGGGACGGTCCTGGTGGTCCCTCTCTTAATACAACATGCTACTGACCTCTAAGATAGATGGCAGACTACTAAAAGCAGTAGCTATATGACCCTTGAGGGTTTAGCGTTTAGTTTTGACGATAATAATAAAAATACTTAAAGCAGTAAAAAGTTTTTATGGGGGCAGCGAGACTTGGGTTTGGGTACGTAGGAGAGAGAGGGAGATTATTACCCAGTAAAAGTAGGCCGTAGGCTGGGATGAGTGATGTTACCATGATTCCTTAACGTGTTCATGGAATGGAAATAAATCACTTTGTCTGACTTTTTTGGGGGGGTCGTCCTGGTGGGTAATTTACACATATGTTACTATATATGATAATTGTACTTATGTAGATCTGTGTCTAAACCAACTTACTTATAGAAGGAGTTGCAAGAGAGTTAAATGTCTGGGTTGTTGGGTACAGGTGTGGGATTGAAAGATAAAGAATCTAATGCAAAGTGGGAGTTGTTACAGAGAAACTGGTGCTATTTTTAATTTGTATTTTTATATTATTAGATTAAGCCTAGTTGTACTATAGCTCATTCTAGCTCAAAACATAGACTCGACAAAAGTCATTATATTAGACCTTAGTGCAATTACAAGTGAGATTCTTGTTCTATTTTTAATTTGTATTTTTAAATTACTAGTTTATGCCTAGTTGTATTTTAGTTCATTCCAGCACAACACATAGACAACATCAACTTCATTATGTGTAATAGTGACTATACTCTATATGACCAAAATACTCTAGCTATATACTTGTCCAAACTTCCCACCACTACAGATATCAGTACTAGAACTCAACACACAACTCAGGATATAAATAAGCATAATATAAACCTAGAAGATGATTGATCACGTTGACCCTGATCTAAACCTCCATAATCTGACACACAATCAAAACCTATTGGAAAGTAACTGCCTTTATTACACAGCATCACAAGCCACCACTATCCTAAACAATGCAAAAAGTCTATCAGTACTTA